ATATAATTAACCTATTATCATATATATATATATATATATATATATATAAAGCAAAAGGAAGAGATGTTGAAACATTCAAAATATCAGAAAATGTCATTGGTTAATGCGAACATTAAGAATTGAAATTATTAATTAAATGAGGATAATATGGTAAATTCACACTTTTTCATATTAAAAAATTAAAACTAAAAGAAAAATCAAATAATAGATCCTATTTGTATAGAACACAATTACCCATTATCTTTTTTAATTCTAAAATAAATTTAAATTAAAAAAAAAAATACTCTAGCAGGCGCAGAAGCGCGCAAAGAGGCTAGTAAAAGATAATAGGTAAATTATTATCAATAAGAGATAATAGGTAAATTGACATTATCAATAAAACATAACGCACGTCTTTTTAAAATACATAATTTACCTATTATCAATAAAAAGATAATAGTTTACTATGTAGGTACATGTCATACAGGTAAATTATTTTTATTTAGGAATGAGCACCATTGTAAAAATAATATAGATGCCATTTATATATAATAATAATAATAAAAATCCCTATCAGTACATCAATTATTTTTATTATTAGTTTTTATGAAATCAATACAAATTTACGGCAAGGAAGGGATCATCCATATCCAAGAGACAATACAGTGTTTATTAGGAAAAGAATCAATGTACAGTTGCAAACAAAGGAAGGAATTAATGAAGGTTAATGGCACATATTGTAATTTAACTGATAATACTTGGAAATATATATATATATATATATTATCTTAAATGATAGCATATTTAGAATTTGGGTTTATCTTAAATATTTAGAAATAGTTAAATTTATATCTAGAAAATAAGAATTACATGGGTATTTCCCTTAAGAATAAGAAGCCAAAAAAGAAAACCAGGAGACACAGACTTACAGCAGACTTATACCCCATGGACGAACGTCATTACTCAATCGCAACCTCCAGGGGCAAATCCGACTTTTCCGCCGGCCACGTCATACACAACCTCCAACCTCTGCTGTTGAACATTCCCAATAACCCCGACGTCACTATCATCCTTGTTTCCGGCAAACGCCAAGCAAACCTGCGAAGGACTTATCGGAAACAATATCCCGGTGGCGTCCAAGTCCACCGTAAGTCCATCCCCAAACACAAACGCTATCTTCGGATACGACACCGTGTTCAAGCCGCTGAAATTGTAACACGTGTCCAGCAACGGATCGCCCTTAGTCAGCGTGTAGTTCTTCATTGCCTCCTGAAACGCGCCCCGCAACGCAGCGTATGCCGTCGCCGGCAACCGCGTGATCACCGTCCCCGAGTCGATGATCGTTCCCGAAGACGAAAAGACCGAGGGCGCAATCGACAGCTGGCTCCCCCCGACGTTGATGCCGGAGAGGCCGAGGCCGTAAAGCGAAGCCGCGCTTTCGCTTTGGGATGACGTGATGAGCTTCGTGAACTTAACGCCGTTAGGAGAGCCTCCGTCGCCAAAGGTGAGGTGACCGGTGGAGCTGGAAGTCGATGGGAGACAGTAGGAGAAGAACCGGTTGTATTTATTGGCGGTTTGCTCGACCAAGGAGATGCTGCTCCGGCCGAGACCCAGCAAACCGGCGGATCCGTTGAATAGGCCTTCGTTGTCTAGGCCACAGCCGAAGAGGAAACCTTCAAAAACGTCCGTGGGGGTCAATGTAAGCTTTTCGCTGCCAAATACCCCTTTGGAGAAGGAGTTGTCATTGTACCCGGCGATGTAAAGGCAGGTGGAGGCGGAGCAGCTTTGTTTGAGGCCGGAGGATGGGAGCTGAGTACATGCGGCGGTGGTACATGGGATGTTTTTGTATGAGGAGGAGAGAGAAGGGTCGAAGATGGGCTCAGTCTGTTTGTAACAAGACCCAGCACATGGCTGGCATTGGGTCCAGGTGAGGTCGCTGCCGGTGTCGAAGACGAGGGAGAGTTGCTTGGCGGGTGTACCAAGGCCGACGGTGACAATGTAATTCGGTGAGCCGATAACGATACCGGACTTGGCGGGGAGGGTGGTAGCAGCGGATTGGGTGAGTGGGTCTTTCCTTCTGTTGTTGTTGTTGTTGTGGTGGAGGCGGGAGTGGATTGAGTTGACTCGGGCTTGGTCTTGCTTGAGGATTTGAGCATGGTATTTTTCATCACTAGTTGTTGTTGAAGTTTTTGATGATTTGTGGAATTTGGAGCATGGCCCATGTTTGTGTACCACTTTCAATACCGAAGGTGCCTTGTTACTGTTATGACCTGAGATCATTGAAACATGTATGCATATAGAGAGAGAGAGTGTGTGTGTCAGAGATACATAAATGCACATAAAATGGGGTTTGAAATTAAGTTATACATATATATAGGATGAATTAACCTTTGGTGGAGGGGCTGCAGGTGGTTGCTGGTAGAAGAGAGTTTACTTCAACCGTGTGAGTGGTATGTGGCAGAAGGTGGGGTTTTGTATCTCTTGCTGCCAAAGCAAATCCGTTTTCGAAAGAGCAGAGAATTAGGCATAGAAATACAGAGAAGAAACCCATGAAAAACCTAAGGAAGGAGGAGCTAGAAATAATGGGAGTTGCCATGAATAATTAACAAGATTGCCTCTAGATTATTGAGTTGCTGCTGTAATGTAAGCATACTCTTGGCCTTATATTGGCTAATTGGAGACGGGTATGTCAACGGGGGTTATCAGAGTTAGGGTTCGTTTGGTATGACAGACTGTTATGGACTAGATTAAATCCTAGGACTGTCTTGGATTAGTTCAGATTGGCCTAAAATTGATTAAGTACTGAATTACGTTTGGTGCTACGTTGGACTAAGGAGCTAGATTGTTGTTGTAACCTGGTCATTAAAATGTATGAGTGTATGTTTACATGTGACTCTTTATATGCATATATTCACAATTATATCCATCTGTGGATGCCTGCCACTAGTTTACGGGTAACAACACCATGCATGTCATGTGGGTGAGAGAGACACAAAGGTAACGGGGCTCTGTTTTTTTGTTTGTTTTTTGTTTTTTTTTAAATTTAAATTTTAATAGAGTAAATTTGGTTTAAGTTTTTTTATTATAGAAAAGTTGATAGAGGTCCAAAAATCCAACCAATAGTTAGGTCTAGTCCTCGAATTATTGTTTGTTAATACAAGTCCTTTAACTAGTTTGCCATGTAGATTACATTCCATTTTTGACATGCTGACTCAATCTTTTATATTTAACTGATTTGTATTTAAATTTTTTGTTCATATTATATCCCTATTGTCTAAAATGGGTAAGATGAGGATTTATAGGCCATTAATGATTAAATTTGATCATGTAATTAAAAGAATAATTACATTTTGAATGTAAATGTCGGACCTTCACTTTTTTCTTGTGCTTGATTTGTGCAAATTCCTATGCTCCAGGTACAATACCCTACTAACCATTGAACTTGATATACCTATCTAATAGGTATAGTACATATTTGATGCACCTCAATACTAGGTAAAACGCATATTGGATGCACCTCAATGCCAGGTAAAACACATATGTTTAAAATAAAATAAAAAAAGTTATACCTCCATACACTACTACGTTTCACTATTTGCGCGACGAAACATTGCGCGACGAAGATCAACCCGTCGCGCAAACAATAATTGCGCGACGAAAAAACATTTTCGTCGCGCAATGCACTGAAAATTTGCGCCACCAAACTATTTCGTCGCGCAAAATGTATATGCGCGACAAAAAACATTATTCGTCGCGCAAACTGAGTTAAAAAAAGAGCGGGGGAATTTTTTTAGCGCGAAACATTTGCGCGACGAGAAATATCGTCGCTGAAGGCAACATTGCGCGACGAACAAATTATCCGTCGCGCAAATAGGACAGTCCCTGATTTAGCGCGACGGAAAGACGTTTCGTCGCGTAAGAGAACAAGAGATATTTTATTTTTTGGCGCCAAAAATGACCTGGGTGGGATATTTTTTTTTGCGCGACGTACTGACGTTTCGTCGCGTAAAGTTCAACGTTTACGCGACGAATACCCTGTTTTGCGCGACGGAATTATGTTTTTGCGCGACAATGTTGCGCGACGAAGTTTTGCGCGACGAAAATTACCAGCGTCGCGCAAAAGTTAGATGTCGGCAGGTGTTTGCGCGACGAAAAAAAGGGTTTGCGCGACGAATAATTTGGTTTTTTGCGACGGGACTTTGCGCGACGAATAAGTTTGTTCGTCGCGCAAAGTCCTTCTTCTTCATATTAGAATTCTGCCATTGCAGAGGCAGAATGCAAAAACAAAGCATTCTGCCTCTGCCTCTCTCTCAACCTCTCTGCTGCTGCTAGGATTTCAATACATTGATTGGGTAAGTATTTTTCGTCATTAGTTTAAAAGTATTAATTTAAGTTCGTACTAAGGTTTTTTAATTTGTTTTCGTTAGGGATATTTGTAATTAGCGATTGGTGGAGAACGATTGAGAAGGTATTTTATTTGTTTTATATATGTTTAAAATGTTCTTGTGAAGTTATATTTATATTATGTTGTGCGTAACGTAGTACAATCTGTTGTGATGTACGAAGTTAATTGAAATTAACTTCGTGCTTTTATTTTTATGTTTAGTAACACTTAGTTTCCCGTTCGAGATTAGTTGGATTTCGTGCATGGATGCGTAATGCATGACTGCGGTCCAATTAATTCTTGAATTGTCCCATTATTTGGACAGTTTGGTAATGCATAGTGTTGTCACGTAATCTATGGCTACAGGATTAGGTTTCGATTGTGGATATTTCGTTGTCATCTCGGTACGTTCTTCGGGTGGTACATAGGTATTTATACCTATGGCCACCTCAAGAACTGTAGCGAGATGCTGGCGAAATTCATCCACGTCGAAATCTAATCTCATGTAGTCGTAGGTTACGTGGCAGGAGTATGCATTCCCGAATGGGATAGGACCCTTACCGGAGGCATAAGGTGACATTATAACTTCGTATGAAGTTGTTGTGATTGTTGTGTTGTGATTCTGGTTTCAGGAATTATGGACAGAAGGTGGATACAAAACCCTAACAGATGCGCAGACGAATACTTGGATGGAATCGAGGATTTTATTGAGTTTGCACGTAGACACAACCCGGGTGCAACTAGAATCCGTTGTCCTTGTAGGAGGTGCAACAACACGTTATGGGAGACAATTGAAAATGTTGGATTTCATTTAGTAAGGAATGGAATGATTGAGACATATAGCATTTGGAACCTTCACGGGGAACAATTAGAGCATGCTTCGTCTTCAAATGCCACAAGAGTGGACAATGTTCAACCTATTGTGGATGCTAATGATGAAGTCATGGATATTATACAGGATGTTTTTCCATTTGCATCGACCAACATGAATCAAGAAGAGCAAGATGATGTGCCTACACCAATAGACAGTGCGGAGTTTGAACAATATGAGAAATTGTTAAAAAATGCCAACCAAGAGTTATACCCGGGGTGCGAGAGCTTTTCCGTTCTCACGGCCATTGTGGAGCTAATGCACGGAAAAATAAAGTATCGTATGTCGAACCTGTGTTTCGATTACTTTTTGGGGGTTTTCAAGAGAATGCTTCCGACGGACAATTGTTTGCCGAAAGACCATAAACAGGCGCAGAAGGTGTTGAATGGTCTTGGATTGGGTTATGAAAAAATCCATGCTTGCAAAAACAATTGCATGTTATTCTACAAAGAGCATGAATCGTTGGATACATGTCCTATATGCAATGAGTCGAGGTTCAAGATGACATCTCAGAATAGGACGACTAAGATCCCACAAAAAGTCATGCGTTATTTGCCCCTGAAACCTAGGTTGCAGCGATTGTATATGTCGACGCATACTGCCACAGACATGAGATGGCATCAGGAAAAACGGGTAGACGATGATGTGATGCGGCATCCTGCAGATGGGGAGGCATGGAAAGAGTTCGATCGAACGTTCCCAGAGTTTGCTGCTGATCCCCGAAATGTTAGATTGGGACTTGCCACTGACGGATTCAATCCGTATGGGGTTCTAAACCAACACCACAGCACTTGGCCGATTTTCGTATTCCCATATAATTTGCCGCCTTGGAAATGCATGAAAAAAGAATACATGATGATGACTGTTTTGATAACTGAGGATCCTGGGAGGTCAATCGATGTTTACTTAAGGCCGCTGGTTGATGAGCTGAAAGGATTTGTGGACAAACGGTGTTCGCACGTACGATAAATCAACTGGGAAGATGTTCACTTTGCGGGCAGCAGTTATGTGGACTGTGAATGATTTCCCAGCATATGCAATGGTTTCTGGGTGGAGCACAAAAGGTTATATGGCATGTCCTGTATGCAAGGAAGATGTAACTTCTGGTTGGCATGCTGGAAAAGTTTGTTACCTTGGTCATCGGAGATGGTTGCCATGGGACCATGAGTGGAGGGAAAAAGATAAAGAGTTCGACGGGAACACTGAGCGTCGCCTTAGACCCAGAGAATGGTCCGGTGATGAGATATTGGACCAGCTGAACCGGTTGGATTTTGCTCCCTTCGGGAAAACAGTTAGTCGTATCAGACCTTCTACACATATGAACTGGACGCACAAACCTATGTTTTTTGAGCTCCCATATTGGTCGAAACTAAAATTGAGGCACAATCTAGATGTGATGCATGTTGAGAAAAATGTATTCGACACATTGGTGGGCACGATTCTAGATATCGAGGGGAAGACAAAGGACACGATCAAAGCTCGTCTTGATTTGGAAAGAATGGGCATACGAAGGGGTTTATGGATGAATAGGGACAATGATAAAGCTAGAAGGGATCTTGCATTCTTTTCTATGAAACCGAATGACAAGAAAGAGTTTCTAAAGTTTGTATCGTCAGTAAAGTTTCCCGATGGGTATGCTTCTAATATCGCACGTTGTGTGAATGTTGACGGGGGTAAATTTACTGGACTTAAAAGCCATGACTGCCATGTGTTTATGCAACGCCTACTTCCTGTTGGTATTCGACACCTATTGCCGGAAGATGTAGTGAAGCCAATCATTTTGTTGTCCAGATTTTTTTCCCAACTGACGGCGAAAACTTTGCGAAAAACGGACATGTTTCAGTTGCGCCATGACATTGTCCAAGTCCTATGCAAGTTTGAGATGATATTTCCTCCAGCTTTCTTCACAAGTATGATGCACGTGATGGTTCACTTGCCAGAAGAGGCATTACTTGCTGGTCCTGTCAACTATCGCTGGATGTATCCAATAGAAAGGTATATAATCCTTATCATTTGTGTATGCATCATTATCACATGCTTGCTAATTTCAATCATATCGTTTTATTTTGGCAGGCTTCTCGGAGAGCTGAAAAAAAGTGTACGCAACAGGGCGAAGCCCGAAGGATCAATCGTAGAGGCTTGGGTTCAATATGAGTCGCTTACTTTCTGCGGAATGTATTTAAAAGATGTGGAGACGGTTTTCAATCGTCCTCAGCGCAATCATGATGGAGGTATGAGAAATGAAAAACTTTCTGTTTTTGCCCAAAGCGCACGACCCTTCGGAGATCCTGGACGCGGAGAGTCGTTTTCTAGAAATGACATGGAGGTAGCGCATTGGTTCGTACTGAACAATTGTGATGAGATCATGGGATACTTATATGAGCATGAAGAGATGATGAAGCGAGAACATCCATCACATTTGGTTGCCCAGAAACACCGTGAATTGTTTCCACAATGGTTTTTGGATTCTGTAAGTTATCAGTGTTTGTTATTTGAGAAATATAAATTTTTTTATAATTTTGTCAGACTAACATATGAATGGTTTTGTATAATATTAGGTGAATAAGTTGAAATCATCGAATTCCCCAACTTACAGTGATGAGTTATATAACTTGGCGTTTGGCCCGATTCGCGCTGAATTGTTCTCGGGTTGTAATGTCAACGGTGTCAAATTTTTGGCCGAAGCACGAGATGACAAGTTGTGTACGCAAAACAGCGGTGTCCATGTCCCAGGTGGAGGCGAAAGTACGGACATTGATTTCTATGGCAAACTCACAACTGTCGTGCAATTGCTTTACAAAGATCGATACCAAGTGATCATGTTTAAGTGTCGATGGTTTGACACCAACCCAAATAGGCCGGGAAGTGTTAAAATCGATCATGGCTTACTATCTGTGAACATGAACAGAACTTGGTATGATGACGACCCTTATATTTTGGCAAACATGGCAACACAAATTGTGTATCTAGATGACCCTAAAGCCGGAAGCGGTTGGAACGTTGTTCAAAAGATGGATCACAGGAACGTGTATGCTATACCAGAACTAGACCCAACTGACAACAACGTCAACAATGTAGCTGACCAACGTTTAGAATCTTCAATGGAAAATGATGCGGAAACACTTCGAGATACTAATGTTATACAAGAGCCATTTCAAATACAAGGAGTGTCTTCAATCGAAATACCGATTCAGTCAATTACAATTGACCTCGGTGATCTTCCGCGATATGATGTTGCAGTTGGCCCGAGCAACGACGATGATGTAGTTATAGAGGAGGCGGAGGAGGAGGAGGAGGAAGAGGATTGGGAGACCGAAAGTGATGATAGCAACGATAACGAAAGTTATTATAGTTCAGATGATGAATGATTAATTTTTTTGTAATTTTATTATGTTAGTGGACATATTTTGTGTAATGCAAATGTTTTCATATATGTACTTGTTATATCCAAACATATATATGATACCAAGTGAAACATTATTAAAATAATTGTAGTTATAAACCATTGGTAAATAAATATAGCCAACTAATTTGTATCATAAAGTTTAAATTTATTTTCACAAAAAACTTTTAAAAAAATGAAAACCATATAACCGAAAAAATGAATACAAAGAACATAAGATTATCAACAATCCTTCCATTCTCAAATCGAAAGAAAATAGAATAAATCATACTTTCATACAATTAATTATATGTAATGATGAATACTTCAGATTAATAATATGTGATGTCTTGCGCGACGAAGCATAATTGTCGCGCAATTTTGCGCGACGGATATGTACACGTCGCGCATACTCTACCATTTGCGCGACAAATAATTTCGTCGCGCAAGTCTCTTTAGCGCGACGAAAAACAGACCCCGTCGCGCAAACATATACATATATATATATTTCTGAATTATACACACGTATATAGTTGAAATTGACGATCGAAGTAGTTCACTGTATTCACATAGGGTTAAACAGTATAGCTTTAAAAAATCATCAAAATCAGAGTCAAAATAACCGTTGAAATCATGACTTTTCGTTTATAACCGTCGAAACGTTTTGTCCCGTTACTTGAGCTCTGAATGTTTTTTTTTCTCATTTTTGACGTATAAGATCTCGAAGTATAAACAAACATATTTGACGGCTAGATTACTGAAACTAGTTTCCTAGAATGCGTATTCCATAAAAACACAATATTCATAAAAACTGAATAATTTCTTTATACATTCCTTCAGTCTAACATAAGATTATGTGATGTCTTGTACTGTAAATATCTGAAATTGAAGATCGAATTACATCTCTGTATTCATATAGGGTCAAGAACCGCAGCTGCAAAAAAATTTCAAGATCGGAGCTAAAATCACCGTTGAATCGGGACAATTTGTTTACAACCGTCGAAACGTTTTGTCCCGTTACTCAATCTCTGAATGTTCATTCATTATGATTTTTGACGTATACGATCTTGAACTATGAAAAAAGAAGATTGTCGGTTGGATCATTGAAACTAGTTCAGGAGTTCGGGTTTAGGGCTTAGGGTACAGGTTTTAGGGTTTAGGGTATGGTTTTGCGCGACGAATGAAGCTTACGCGTCGCGCAAACCTTATGCGACGAATATAGTCCATTCGTCGCGCAAAATCAATAAAAAAATTTCCTCTCCCTCTCCGCTCCAGCACTTAGTGAAATTTTTTTTCAAAAGCCAGTTTGCGCGACGAATATAGTCCCATTCGTCGCGCAAAATCAATAAAAAAATTTCCCTCTCCTCTCCGCTCCAGCACTTAGTGAAATTTTTTTATCAAAAGCCAGTTTGCGCGACGAATATTAGTCCATTCGTCGCGCAAAATCAATAAAAAAATTTCCCCCTCCTCTCCGCTCCAGCACTTAGTGAAATTTTTTTATCAAAAGCCAGTTTGCGCGACGAATATTAGTCCCATTCGTCGCGCAAAATCAATAAAAAAATTTCCCCCTCCTCTCCGCTCCAGCACTTAGTGAAATTTTTTATCAAAAGCCAGTTTGCGCGACGAAATTTGTTGTTCTAGTCGCGCAAAGGTCCAATTTTATAACATTGCGCGACGAAAAGTTAATTTTTTCGTCGCGCAAGGGTTATTTTAATGACGTTTGCGCGACGGAAATATATGTTCGTCGCGCAAAGTCGAATAAGTTTTCTGAAAATCGCGATCTTCTCCTTCTTCCCCAAATTTCTGAAACCTAACCCTAAAACCTCCCAAATCTCTCCGCCGTGACCTCAGCCCCTAATCCGCCCCAAATCAGACCCTGCCGCCGCCACCGTCGAACCCAGGAGCTTCTCCGCCGTGGCCGTCCATCCTGCCGCCGTGAATTGCTCGGTTTAGGCCGAATCTCCGCCGCCGTTGTTCTCTCTCCTCCGGGCACCAAATCCGGCAATTGAGGTATGCTTTTTGGCCTATTTTTCATGCTCTAGCTGATGGTTGTGTAGGATTTGATTGATTGTGTGCATAGGGTAGTCAATTTGAAACCCTAGGTTTCGGCCGGTTTTGAAATTCAAATTCCGGCCACTTCCGTCCGTTTTCGGGGTAGGTCCGAGAACAAAAGTGGCTCCAATTGATGTTTTAAACCTAGGGTAGGAACCTTGCCCCTTAATTTGTAGGATTTCCCGGGGATCGTTATCTCTTAGGGCACCCACGCGCTGCCGGCGCGTGTGGTGGCGCGTGGGGTACTGTGGCATAGGGCTTTTTGTCCCAGTGCAAACATTTCGTTGTCACGAGCGCGTAGGTGTGCTCGGATTGGAATTTGGTTATCGTTTGAGTCTCGAACGGTTTGAACCTATTGTGCGATTTTAGGGTTTGATATGTTCGGACCGTTGGATCGAGCTGAAACTCACGTATGTGGTACCATGTATTTATAGGATCGTTTAGGAATCGACGGATTGTGGATCGGAGTCCCGGATACTCCGAAATCGCAAACCCTAGGTCAAACTATGATTTTAATTAGTTAGTTCAATTTTTTACTGACATTGTATGTGCTACATTGGATTAATGAAATTGTGCAGATGTCAGACTTGATTAGACGTCGTAGGGCGGTGACGGCTACACCGAGTTCGGAGCCCCCGGCTCAGCCGGTATCAGCTGCCACTGCTCCAGCACTGATGGAGCAGGACCACGTGCTAGCTGGTCCTGGGGGATCCCAGGCGGCTGCATCATCATCTTCTTCGGTGGTGCAGCCTCTTAGCGCTAGGCGGCGACACCGGCCCGCTACCACCACCGACACCACATCCACTGACTGTACTGGTGCCTCGGGGGCACCTACAGGTAATACCCTTCCCCTTTCATTTTTTGTTTTTAACATTTTTTTAATTGGGAATTTGATGGTTCAATTTGATTGTATATGTAACAATATTGTCATATCCCTTTGCAGCCAAGAGGAACACCCGAGGGCCGTGTCGGCAGCTGAAGACGGCGAAGGTCACCCGGGTGACCAACAGTCGTATCAGCATCGGATATGACGAGCGCCATCGGGCTGCACCGACGGCGGACTTGCATAGCTCCTTGGCCCACGACATTGGCCACGTCGTTCGGACCCATTGCCCGATGCAATGGAAGTCTTGGAAGGTCATACCTGACGAGATCAAGATGCAAGTTCGCGGCCAGTTGTCGGTATTTTTCCTATCTTTTAATTATTTTTCTTTCAAACTTTATATATTTCTATTACTTAATGTATGTAATCAATTTATTGCAGACGAACTACGACTTAGAGGACATCAACGAGGAGACTTTGGCGTACGTCAACAGACTCTTCGGTGAGAGGTACAAGCAGTGGAAGAGCGACTTGCACCACCATTTCCAGGCCTTTGATGATCCGGAAGTCGCTCTTCAGGAGGGTTGCCCGAAGGAGCTTGAGGGGCGGGAGGATAGTTGGGCGTGGCTCTGCGCTCATTTTCAGGCGCCCGATTATGTGGTATTTTTTTAATAATATTTGTTTAATGTTTATTTTATTTTTTATATCTCATTATTATTTAATTTATTTATAGTTCAATTATTACGTTTTATTTTTTGTATAACAGAATAAAGCCCAAGTGAATAAGGGCAATAGGAAGAAGAAGACTCTTCTTCACCATTCCGGCTCCAGGCCCTTCTCATATAGGATGGATGCACGGCGTCGGGTAAGAATAATATAATTTATATTTAATTTTTAATACGTCATTATTATTAATTTCTTTTGTTCATACTAATATTTTCTTCTCTTGTTCAATTAAGGGGGGGTCGAAATTCCCAGAGATCGACGTCTTTGGTGACGTTTATGTTCGACCTGGGGAATGAGTTGGCCGAGTCCCTTCATGTAAGTATTATGTATTTTTAATTCTTATGTTACACTTTCAATTTATATGCATTTTTGAATTTATATTTTATGTAATGTTAAACAGACGACGATGGTGGAGAGGAGCCAGTTGGTTCTTCAAGAGTCCGCCTCCCAACTTCCTCCCGAGACTCCGATCGAGTCTGTGGATCCTCCGCATGATGCTGGATTTCAGATTTTGACGCAGACGTTGGATCAGACTCTCGGGAGGAGGCCGGGAACGTATTGTAGGGGGATGGGGAATGCCCGACAGAGGGAACCTCGACCGCGGTCATCGTCGCAGGCAAACAGTCAGGTGACTGTTTTGACATCGCGGGTTGCCGAGCTTGAGGGTCAGATGTCGGTGATTCTGCAGTCGCTCGCGCGGTCCGGCATTCCAATCCCGAATTTTGGTGCGTCGACCTCCGAGCCCGTCCAGCCCCGAGCATCCCCAGCACACCACGGCCCCTGCAGACGCCCATACCTCCGACGCATACCTCCGAGCCGCATGTGGCAGATGACCAATTAGATTTCGGAACATTATTTGATTAGTTTGTTATTTTTATAATTATTTTACAATTTGTATACATTTATTTTATTTTATATAATAGATGTTTTCTTTACGATTAATTTTTTTTAATTGTAATTTCATTTTAATTAAAAAAAAAACAACATTTATTTTTTTACAAAATTAAAAATCAAATAATAATAAATTTTTTTTAATAATATATATTGCTTTTGCGCGACGAAACGTAAATCGTCGCGCAAAAACATTTAAATATATCTTAATCTTGCGCGACGAGTAATTTCGTCGCGCAAGATGTGTATGCGCGACGAACAAGATGTCGTTGCGCAAGGTTCATGTAGTTCGCGCGACGGACAATTCCGTCGCGCAGTTTTTTTTGCGACGACCTCTGGTTCGTCGCGCAAATATTTGTGCGACGGACAATGAGGTCGTCCCGAAATGTTTTTTGAAACGAAGATGTTATACGTAGCGCAAACTGCGCGACGAATGACATTTGTTCGTCGCGCAAATCCTTTCTTCACGACCTTTGCGCGACGGATTGTGCGCG